GAATGCTTGACTGTGTGTGCCGGCTGTAAGACACTGGCTGCCGTGTGTAAGAGGGATATGTGCTTGGATGTGTGGGTCCCACGATGGAGGGGAGGGCTGGAGGAGCGGCCACCAGCTTGCGCCATGCCAGTGTGGGACTATGAGGGTGAGAGATGCGCTCGTGCGTTGTGCGTGATGGAGTACTGCGGGGATGATTTGGGGCGGTGGGAATGCAAAGCTCTTCTCAGCCGTCCAGGCAAGTGAGAAGGCGTCCGCTGCTGTGGCATCGGGGTGGGGGACCTTAGAGCAGAAACGCGGCAAGTGTGAATTTTGGGGTTTGCGAATACGTCAATGGAGTGGGGCCCCCAGCGACGCTCGAGGAGGCGAAACCATGGGAGCTTCAACGAGTAGTCATCGTGGTCGACTAGCTTGGAGAGCTCGTCTGCGCGACCATTCAGATCGCGTGGGATCCATTCGATGATTAGCCGAATCTCGAACTCCATGCATTTTTGGTTGATGCCTTTGCATGTGGTGGTGAGGTCGGGACTTCGGGAACCTCCTTTGCGAAGGATAAAGAACACGCCCTAGTTGTCCACCTGCACTAGCACGTGTTTGTTCCGGATTCTAGGCGCGTACGTCTGTAGCGCCCACAGCACGCCGGCGAGCTCTCTTTGTGTGCCGGAGGTTGGATGAAGGGCTTCGGGCATAGCCACGCTAGCCTCTGTCGCGGCTCCTGGGAATGTGTTCAGCGTGGCACCCCAGCTGTGGGCACTTGCGTCTACGTGGATGACCGCATCGTAGCTGTGCCGCACATGGAACGGGGCACCATTGAAACGGTCAAACTCTTGGATCCAGAATCTCAGCTCTTTGATGGCGGGTGGGGAGAGGAGGACCATGCTGGTCCATGTCGGCGTGTCGTTGATTGTTTCTAGCATGGCGTAGCTGAACGCTCGGGTAGTGGTGCCGAGTGCGACAGCCATCGATGCCAGCATGCCTGTAACTCGGGCCAGTTGCCCGACTGGGACTTTCCGCTGGGCTGAGCTCGCGCGCAGCAGGGCATGGAGGGTGGCATTGAGTGTGGCTCGTCGCTCCTCGCCGATGGAGAACCGGCCGGCCTGTGTATCGAGTTCTACGCCAAGGAACCGAAGGTGCTGTGTTGGTATCAGCTTTGACTTTTTTGAGTTGAGTACGAGCCCGGCAGCCTTGAGATCGATAGCGACCCGTTGGCACGTGGCTTGAGCACGTGCCTGGGTCGGGCACAGGAAGAGGATATCGTCAACGTAGGGTATCACGCGAACCCCCTGCTCCCGCCATCGCCGAGCTAATTGCTTGATGAGGTGCGTGAAGACGAATGGTGCTATGGCAAGGCCGAACGGCAAGGATCGGAAGGCGTATGTGCGCCCGTCAAATTCAAAGCCGAGGAACGTCCAGCACGAGGGATGGATGTCGACATGGTGATAGCCTGATTTCAAGTCGATGGAGGACATCCAATCTCCTTGGCGAGCGAGGTCCGCTACACGGTTGAGTCCCTCATATTTAAATTGGGGACGATTAGTGCGTCGTTCACCTTTCGGAGATCCAGAATCAGGCGACACTTGTCTTTCTGCTCGACCACGTTGAGTGGGCTTATGCATCTCAGTTTTGCCGCAGGAATTTGTATGGCCGCGCCGGTCTCGGTGAGTTCAAGGATGGCCGTACGCGTGAATGCTTCGTGGATGCGTGCGCCGGCATGGTTGCGATCGTGAAAGGCCGGCGGCGGCCCGAGTTTCCATGGCATCCAGTATCCTTGGGCAAAGACTGAGAGTATGAAACTCTAGTGCACCACAAGCTCCACCAAGCGAACGTGGTACGTAGGCGGCCACACATTTGGGTGACCAACTTGTCAGTAACCGCGTATTCGTAGGGGTCACTGATGTGTGCGCATTCGCGAAGTCGGGTGCCTGTGGGAGTGACGTCATGCAAGGAGAAGCAAGGGACGCATCCTTAAGTTCATCTGCAGGGCTGAGGCCTGCCGGAAACCTAGAGCGTGGGGGGGGGGGGGGAGTGTGAAGCCTAGTGGCTAAGGAGGGCGTGCAGGACACAGGTGTCACGTGCGAGCAAGATGCTTAGGTCGGTGGTTGCGTGCGCTTTGAGCGAGTCTGAGTGGCGTGACCTGCGTGTGTGTCGGTTTGCGCGTCCGCGCATGCCGAGCTTGCGTTCGAACCCGCGCCCCGACGTTTGTGCATGAGTTTCCGCTTATTGTCCTTCCCTTTTTGCCCTTATATTCCCACAACTTGTGCCTTCACTCGCGCTTTTACTCGCGAACGCATGTTACCCTCGATTGCCTCTTTCGCTTGCGTTCTCATTTCTTGGATTTTGAGTCTAAACGCCCGTGAATTTTTCCTGTCTTTCCTCTAACCACCTCTGGCGTGCTTGTGTGGCATGCGTGCGGTGTTTTTGTTGCTGTTCCCGTTCGTGGGCCATAACGCGTGCGTGCGCGCATGCTTCTGTGATTTTTTTTTTTTTTTTTTTTTTCCAATGCCAAGCTGGGCAGCCCTGGATGAGGTTGGTGTGGCTGTTCCTGTATGCCCACGGAGGGGTAATGCTTGGCGTCCAGGGTGTAGCACACCGTGTTGGAGGGTAGGCGCCTCGTGAGGCTCGCATAATGCTTGATTTTTTTTTTTTTTTTTTTTTTTTTTTTGCATGTCCAATCGATGAGCAATTATTTGAGGGTAAGTGGCGGGCCATTGGTATTCCTGATGGCCTTCCTCTCTGGCCGGGGGTGCTGCGTGACATGTGGCGAGGGTTGAGCCACCCCCTATGCTTCCCCGTTTCGTGCTCGATCCTTTTTTCTTTTTTTTTTTGCTGCGCCTCTTTTGGTGCTGCTTCCCCGTTTCTCTGGTTAGATTTAGGGGCCAAGACCTGAAAAAAAAAAACGGAGGACCGCGGCTCCTTATATTAGCCAAGCTTCATCTCTACTCAACCATGCTCCTAGGCATGCAAAGTCCGCCTTGCAAGGTCGGGCTATCATTTGGGGCCGAGGGGGTATGTTCCCCTTCCCTTGCTCTGAGCCTAGGGCCTTCAATTGGCCTACACTAGGGCTGGCCCTCTGCCACCCGTGTCCCTAAAGGGTGGGCCCAATGGCCTACGCACACACCGGGTGCCTTGCGCCTTGCGCCACTTGCGCAAGCGCCCATGGCCCGACCCCTACACCACTGGTGCGGGTCCTTGGCCACCATGCCCAATCGCCAAGCAGCCGTTGGCCACATGCCCCGGCTGGCCACAGCGGAAGCAACTGCCTCGGAAGCCGCGGAATTCTCCCGTAGGCGGCGGACCACGCTTTGGCACGAACGGCATGGGCATGCGGCCGCCTCCGCGATTGCCACGAGCAAACCCGCCCTTGGCGCGGTCCATTGCAGCCACGTCAGCGACGGCCTGTTTGAAAGGCCTTGAGGTAAGTAGACTCTTCTGCTGGTACAGCTTGAAACGCTCGGCCGTGCGGAAGTCGGAGGCGTCTTCGACTTGGAGAACTTCGAAGCGTCGCGATATGAGGGCGAGCGCGTCGGCGAGGAATTCGAGGCCGCCCGGCGCGTCGCCGTGCTGCATCTTGAACTCGGCGTGCTTCAGGTATGCTCGAAGGTCCTCCAGGACTTCCGCTTGCTTGCGCACGGCCGCGTTGAGGAAGGACGCCGCCGAGAGGGTGGTGTTAGTGGTCGGGAGTGGTGGGAGGTGCTCCATGGGAATTGAATTTGCAGCAATGCCAGGGGCCTCACCAGCGTCGTTGTCGGAGTCGTCACTGTCGTGGTCGGCCGCCGAGGCAGGCGGGATGCTGGCGACGACGTCTTTGGCGAGGCGTGGCATCTTGGTTCCGCGTGTGGCCTTTTCTGTTTTTGCAGGTTCTTTTTTAGCAGATTCAGAAGCAGCAGGTTGAGCAGTTTCGGCGGCCGTAACACTCGTCGCCTGCTGCTGTAACAGCGTCAGCAGCGCGTTGACCTGCACAGGGGTCAACGACGGGGTCAATGTCGGGGTGGGCGGCATGTCAGATGAGGCGGCCGCGCGCCCCCTTTTGCGCTGGCGAGAAGGACCCGCCACTTGCGTGGCTGGCGCGTGCTGCTGTTCGGCGTCAGGCGCGAGTGGCTGGCACTGCTCAGCCACATGCGCATGTGGCTCGGAAGGGGGCGGGGTCGCGTGAGCAGGCTGATTGTTGACCTCGCCCCCTCCCAGCAGAACGTCAACCCCAGTTGGGGCAGCCGCCCCTTCTTCTGCCCGACGCTTGTTGCGCCGGTCGCCCGCAATTTCCGGGGCTTGGCGAGTAGACTCGGAATTGGGGTGGCCGGTGACGACGCTGGACTCGCCGCGATTATTCGTAGTCGGAGCCATGACGGATCGGTGAAACTTAAAAATGTCGGAAAGAAGTGTTGAGGGAGACTCGCCGCGAGGCAAAGTTATAGTCTTAGCCAGCTTGAACGGGAGAAAAGCTAGAGCGGGAAAGTGGACTGAGCCGTTTGAAAATGAGAGACGTGGGTGGAGGTAAATGAGCTATAACCCACGTATATGTAGTTGGAGAAGGGCGAGTAGCGCGCTTTGACGATGCCCAACGCTCCAGTACAACCAGTTTCGCTTTCACAATACACAATTTTTTAAAAACAGTGCGTGTGTTAAAAAATTATAATGTAGTGAACTCATCACACACATCAATCTGCGACTAGCGAGAGAATGGGCCAGCATATAACAGATGGCTCTGTACCAAACCATCGTAGGGAGAATTGTCTCACAAAGTCTCCCCTGTTCGCGATGAAAACGACCGTCGCGAAAACAGCCGTACCTCGATAATGTCGACACTTGATGCTGCTCGGTTACGTCTCACAGCACTTTCCGCCACAACGCCCTGAGGGTCGGTGTCAGACTCGAGCGCGAAATGCCAGGGTACAGTGCACTTTATGTTTCTTTTCTCTTCGCTTGGTTACCAGGAATGTCTCCCAGTTGTGGCTACAGCTGCATACCTTGGCCTTCCACTGGCCTCTCAGCATCAGAAACCGCCAGTTACATGCGAAATAGTAGTCAGCCCAAGATCATAATAGGAGGTGAATCTCCAGATTGCTGCTGACCTATCCTTCATCACCAGTCAAGCTGACGTGGTCGATTCCCGCACTAGTATCCCTCATTGTTGGGAAGACCAGGCGGTGCTCGCTGTCCTGATTTTTCCTAGTATTTATTTTCGCTTTCCTTATTCCTGGTAATCTATGTCGCAGTCCTGAGTTTTCCTAGAACTTCACTTTGCAACCCCGGCTTACACTTTGGGTCATTGCTCCTTTGGAGTATTCGTCGTATTTGTGCCACCGTGCGCTGGAAGCTGCCTGACTGCTATGTTAACTTGGAAATTCCCCTTGTGCCGACGGGCCTTGTAGCCTGGCATCTCAACTCCGCTCTCTCATCGTCGTCCGCAATTTCGCGTATTCGTTTCTCCGTTCCCGCTGCCTCTAGAAAGCGACCGAGAGCCGCGAAAGCAGCAGTTTTGTGTGAGACATGTGCGAAAATATAGGGTAACCAGCTCTCCGCTCGTCGGGGAATGTGCGAAACCATAGGGTAACCAGCTTGCGTCGGTCGAGAATGTGCCAGCACATCCGCACACAGCACGTTCGCCGCTAGTCGCGCATTGACGCGATGGGGTCCGCTTGTTTTAAAGCCCAGGAAGGGGAGGACGATGGGGGGAAGAGTGAGCAAAGAAAATCAAGGGAAGAGCAGCGGCAGCAGGCACAAGTTGAGTCTGGTCAGTCCCAGCAGCAGCAGCAGCAGCAGCAGCAGCAGCAGAAGCAGCAGGGAGTAAGGGCAGAGAAGCAGCAGCAGGAACTTGACGGGCAAAGACAGCCGTCCGATGGTGCAGTGCATGCAGATCAAGGGTCAGGGAAAGCCCAGCTGCCTGAGCAACAGCAGGGGTCGGCCGTTGCAGCAGATGGAGGCAAGGACCAGAGCAATGGGGACCCTGGTAAGTAAGAAAGCATCGACGAAAGAAGCATGGACGAAAGAGGCATAGACGAAAGAAGCATAGACGAAAGAGGCATGGACGAAAGAAGCATAGACGAAAGAAGCATAGATGAAAGAAGCATAGACGAAAGAAGCATAGACGAAAGAAGCATAGACGAAAGAAGCATAGACGAAAGAAGCATAGACGAAAGAAGCATAGCGGAAAGAAGCTCAGAAAAGAGGAATGATTGTTGAGTCGACTCCAACGTCATCTCGTCGCAGATGGAGGCAAGGACCAGAGCAATGAAGTCCCTGGTAAGTAAGACGCCCTCCTCCCCCTCCCCCCACTTCCCACTCTCCCCCCTCCCCCCTCCCCGCACTCCCCCTCCCCCTTCTCTTCCCCCCCCACCCCCCCCATTCCCTCACCCCCCCCCCGCCCCCTCTCCCTCCCCTCCCACCTCTCCTATCACTCATCTGCTTTTCAAGTTCAACTTTCCGGACTGGCTTTCATCCCTTGGTCTGTCGGATATCTATATCTCGGTCGGTCTTATAAGCAGCAATTCATTCCGAGCATCCATTCAGCTCCACTTCAGCAGCAGCGCTTTCCCAACCCAACCACAACCCCCCTCCTCCCTTCCCCTCCCTTCCGCTCCCCTCTTCTCTCCCCCTCCCTCCCCCTCCCCCCCCCCGCCCCCCCCCTCTTCCCGACCCCACCCTCTAACCACCTCCAACCCGCTCATCCCCTTTCCGGCTCAACCGGCAGCAGCAGCAGCACCGTCATCACAAGCACAACCACAGCTATATCCCGCAGCCAAATCACCAGCGATTTTTTAGGCACCTAATTAGATCCTTTCTCCCACCACCCCCAACCCAACCCAACCCCCTCATCCCGTTTTCCAGCTGAACCGGGGGCAGCAGCAACACGACCACCATCACAAGCACCACCGCAGCTGGATCCCGCCGCAGAATCGCCGGCAGCAGCACCTGGCAGCAGCATCAGCAACAACTGTAGCAACGATGCTAGGGACAAGGCAGCCGTGCCTGCATTTCGACGAATGACTCTAGAGGAGCTGATGGCGGCTACCAATAACTTCAGGTCAGTTGATCCGGATCCGGGTGCACTCTTGTACGCGTTATACGCCAATAACGTCAGACGAATCATAAATCCAGTCATTTGATTACGAACGAATGATTCTAGAGGAGCTGGTGGCTGCTACGAATAACTTGAGGCGAGTTGATCCGTGTGCAGTGCACTCTGCATTGTACGCGTCATAGGATTGCTTCAGTGCTCCACAGAAGAGCTGATGGCGGCTACCAGTATACCTGCGCTGAGGTAAGCATATTTTTAGTGCCTTTCTCAGGGCAACCTTTTTGCAGGGTCTTTTTTAATGCCAGCACGATTTACCGACGGGGGTACACTTTGTAGTCGCTGAAAGAAAGCTCTAGTGAAAGTTTAGAGCCAAAGGGTTGGTGAAGATTGTCAGCCTCGGATTCCCTATCCAAACCGTGGTCAATGGGGCTGTATATGGCGCCTCATGCTTCTCCCACTCCCCCTTTCTCCCTGCCTGCGGCCCCCTCTCACTCCTCCCTTTCTGGCTCTCCCGTCCTAATGGAAGAAAGCGTGGTATGGGAGGAGGGAGGAAGGCATGCACTGAATGTGGTTTACTGGGGGCTCCTTGGGTTGGAAGGGCTCTGTATGGTGCGCCGCACAATATACTCCCCCACCCCCCCCCCCACCCCTTGCTTGTTTGCCTCGTTTGATCCTCTCCTCTCCTCTCCTCCCTCCGTCGCCCCCAGTGAGAGGAACGTGGTATCGGAAGGGGGAAGGCACGTGGGTTAGTGGGGGAAGGGGGAAGGTGCTCAACGTGGTATACCGGGGGGGGGGGGGTGGGGTTCCGTGGATTGGAGGGGTTGTATGTGGCGTCTCACAACCCTCCCTTCCTTGTCTGATTATCTCGTTTGCCACTCCCCTCCCTCCCTCCGTCGCCCCCAGTGAGAGGATCGTGGTATCGGAGGGGGGAAGGCAGGCGCTTAACGTGGTTTGGTGGGGGTTCCTTGGGTTGGAGGGGCTCTGTATGGTGCGCCTCACAATACCCCCCCCCTCCCCCCCCCCCCCCCCCCCGCCCCTCTCTTGCCTGTTTGCCTCGTTGATCCTCTCCTGAGTTTCCTCCCTCCCTCCCTCCCTCCCTCCCTCCCTCTCCTTCCTCCGTCGCCCGCAGTGAGAGGAATGTGGTATCGGAGGGGGGGAGGCAGGCGCTGAACGTGGTATACCGGGGGGTGCTGGGAATCGAGGGACTCCAAGTGGCGCTCAAGAGGTTCCAGAAGAAGGAGTGGGAGGACGCCACGCAGTTTGGTGTGAGTGATTTTGGTGTGAACAGGTCAGAAGTCTATTTTTGAGGCGCCTCAAAAATAGACTCCTCACGCAGGTCAGTGGAGAGGGATGTGGAAGGAGTGTGGGGAGTTTGTTTGGACCCAGTGGGTTTCCAAGTGGCGGTCAAGAGGTTCCAGTAGGAGTGGGAGGATGGCACACAGTTTGGTGTGAGTGATTTCTTCCAAACAGGTGGATTGTGCCGGTCGAAAGAAGGAATGTGGAATGTGCGGAGGGAGGTTGTATGGGCCGAGATCTCTCCTCTCCAGTTGTCAGTGAAGAGGTTCCAGAAGAAGGAGTGGGAGGACGCCACGCAGTTTGGTGTGAGTAGCGTATTACGGTTTAGCGAGCACCTCTTGTCTGACGGCACGACTCTTATGGAAATGCCTTTTAAGATTACAAAGAAAATCGGTGCATTCGTGATGCCACAAGGCTTTTTTTAGCCATGTGCTGAATGGTTGTTGAATCTTACTTCACCATCGCATTTCTTACCTCTCCTACCTTCCTGAACCCTCCCTCCCTCCCTCCCTCCCTTCCCCCGGCGTCAGGAGCATTCGCCACCCCAGGCTGACTTAGCTGCTAGGCTTGCTCCCTCTTCCCCCACCCCACCTCTCTTGTTGTTTCGCCCCATTCTAGTTTTGAGGCGCCTCAAAACTGCTCTCTCTTCCCCCACCCCATCTCTCTTGTTGTTTCGCCCCATTCTCTCCTCCCTGCCCCAACCACACAACAGTCTGACGCCGCAGCGGTGGGGAGCATTCGCTACCCCGGGCTGACTTCGCTGCTGGGCTTCTGCAGTGAGGGCGACCACCGGCTGCTGGTGTCGGAGTTCATGCCTAACTGCACGCTGGCACAGCATTTATTCCACTGTAAGGCTATTTCCTGCTACAGTTGCGATCTATATTCTATGTGACTGTGCAAGTCAAGTGCAGTGAGGGCGACCACCGGCTGCTGGTGTCCGAGTTTGTGCCGAACTGCACGCTTGCACAACACCTGTTTCCCTGTAAGGCTATGTCCTACAATTGTGCCCCATATTTTATGTGCGCTGTTCCACTGTTGCTGTGAGGGCGACCACCGGCTGCTGGTGTCAGAGTTTATGCCCAACTGTACGCTCGCACAACACCTGTTCCACTGTAAGCTGCATCAAATTAGTGTATGGAGTAGTTACTTGGCTTCTGCAGTGAGGGGGGCGACCGCCGGCTGCTGGTGTCCGAGTTAATGCCCAGCTGCACGCTCGCTCACCCAACGTTTACTTCATTGTAAGAAAGAAGTCCACGTCCCTCTCGTTGCAAGACTGTACCACTTGCCAAGAGTAACCTGGGCTTCTGCTGTGAGGGCGACCACCGGCTGCTGGCGTCAGAGTTCGTGCCTAATTGCACGCTCGCTCGCCCAGCATTTATTCCACTGTAAGGCTAGTTACCGCCGTTTAAGTGTATATTCTTTGTGGCCGTAAGTCAGCAGTTGACTGTCAACTGCTGTGAGGACGACCACCCTCTGCTGCTGTCTGAGTTCGCACCCCACTGCACGCTGCTGGTGCAGCACGTGTTTCCCTGTAAGGTCACCCTTGGTTTCAGAGAGAACTGAGTTGCTGTGAGGGAGGTCACCAGCAGCTGGCAGCTGCTGATGACGTTCAATTCTGATGCTTAAATGCACGTTAGCATGTCATGTCAGTTATTCCGTGTTGCTCCCTCTTTCCCCTATTTCCCAAGGGAGCAACGGCCAATGACCTTTCTAGCATAGTGGTTATTGGCAGCAATGCATGTGGCACAAGCGCTGGTGCATCTTGGGAGGGAGCGGCTAGTTTTGAGGCGCCTTAAGAAAGGTGGTTTGGCAGCAATGCACGTGGCGTAGTGCAAACGATGGTCCATCTGGAGAGGGAGTAGCTAGAGGCTCCTCAATGTGCAATCGATTCCCCCCCTTCCCTTCAACCCACACTCACCTCCCCTTTTTGCGTCCAAGGGAGCAGTGATCAATGAGCTAGCTAGCGCGGTTGGCAGTGGCAGTGGCAATGCATGTGGCGCAGAAGCTGATGCGAAGGAGGGGGTCCATCTGGTGCCTCTGGTGCTCCACAACACGCATGTACACCCTCCCTCCTCCTCCGTCCCCCCCTCTTCCCCCTTTGGGATGCCGCAGGGGAGCAACGGCCCATGAGTTGGCCGGCAAGGCTGGCAGTGGCGATGCACAAGGCGCAAACGCTGGTGCAGCCGGGGAGGGGGAAAGTTGAGGCTGCTAAACGTGCATTTTGTCTCCTCCTTTACCCTCAACACATGCGCACCTTCCTCTTTTCCCCTGGATGCAGGGGAGCAACGGCCCATGAGTTGGTTGGCGCGGCTGGCAGTGGCGATGAACGTGGCGCAAACGCTGGTGCACCTGGGGAGGGAGAAAGGCATGCCAGTGTATCACGACCTCAACCCGTACAAAGTGCTGCTAGATAAGGTGATTGTCTTATAATGAGGAAGAAGTGTTGCTGGATAAGCCGGCGGTTTTGCATGGGGCAACCCGTGTACCATGACCTCAACCCGTGTACCATGACCTCAACCCGTGTGCCATGACCTCAACCCGTGTACCATGACCTCAACCCGTGTGCCATGACCTCAACCCGTGTACCATGACCTCAACCCGTGTGCCATGACCTCAACCCGTGTGCCATGACCTCAACCCGTGTACCATGACCTCAACCCGTGTACCATGACCTCAACCCGTGTACCATGACCTCAACCCGTGTACCATGACCTCAACCCGTGTACCATGACCTCAACCCGTGTACCATGACCTCAACCCGTACAAAGTGTTTCTGGATAAGAGAAGGTGACAGACTTTGTAACGAGGACAGAGCTCTGTTTTGTGAGGTGATGGTCCGTCATTCATAGGTGTACACTGTGTGTAATGAGTCTATTTTTGAGTCGACTCAAAAATAGACTCATTACACACGGGCTCTGCTTTGTGAGGTGATGGTCCGTCATTCATAGGTGTACACTGTTCGCCTGAATTTGTGGCGCCTAAAAAAACCGCTCGTGCATCTGGGAGCGGAAAAAGGCATGCCAGTGTACCGTGACCTCAACCCCTGCAAAGTGCTGCTAATTAAGTTGAGAATCTTATATCGAGTACCACCAAGTGATCCTTGATTGATCGGGTGATAGTCTTATGACGCGTGCAAGTGTGGCTTCGTAAGCTGATAAACCTTTGACGTGTGAGGTCAAAGGTTGATTGGTGTGATGCTTTGTTTCGTTAGCTAGTGAGGAGTCTATCTTTGAGGCGCCTCAACGCGTGAGACTCTTGAGGCACCTCAACATGTGAGACTCTTGAGGCACCTCAAAAATAGACTCTTGACGTGTGAGGTGTGAGGTGTGATGCTTTGTTTCGTTAGCTAGTGGTTTCTCATCGTACTTCTGAGTCGACTCAAAAGTCTCTCATCGTACTTTTCACACACGTGGACGGTGGAGGATTATTTCGAAACCCTTCCATTTTCTCACTTGGTTTCCGTTCTGCCTGCAGGACAACCAACCCAAGCTCTCATGTTTTGGGCTCATCAAGCCTCTAAAGGACGGTCGCTACAGCTCCAACCTCGACTACTTGCCTCCTGAGCAACTGTTACATGGTAAGGTTTGGTTTGGAGCTATGGTGACCGCCCTTTGGGTTGGTGAGAGGTTTGTACGACGAGGCAGCCCGATTGAGTTTCGGCAACATCAAGCCTCTAAATGAGACGGCCGTGATATTTACCTATTCTCCTCAACATCTCATTTGCAGTCTTCACCTCCTGAACAGCCGGTGCGTATGCGACTTCTGCATGCCGAGTTGTTGGTTGCCATGTTTTCTAGCTTCTCGTACATTCTGCTTTCCTTCACTTGCCTGTGTCTGACTGCAGGGAGAGTGGCAGCAGAGAGCGTTGTAAACGTGTGTCTGTCACTCGCAACGTGACTGAAATGTGTGCTGGCAAGGCAATGGCCCTCAATGTGCTTTGTTTTACTTTCCTGTGTCTGACTGCAGGGCGAGTGACAGCAGAGAGCAGAGCATACAGCTTACTTACAGCATCCGTCTCATTTGTCTGCCTGTCTTTTCTGCTAATCCGCCATGCTTTTCGCACTGAATGCCACTGCACCCTTCTCACTGCATGGCGGGTGACAGCAGAGCCGAGAGCATGGCATACAGCCTCTGCTTTTGAGTCGAATCAAAAGCTGACAGCAGAGCAGAGAGCATGTCATACAGCCTCTGCTTTTGATTCGACTCGAAAGCTGACAGCAGAGCAGAGAGCATGGCATACAGCCTCTGCTTTTGAGTCGACTCAAAAGCTGACAGCAGAGCAGAGAGCATGGCATACAGCCTCTGCTTTTGAGTCGACTCAAAAGCTGACAGCAGAGCAGAGAGCATGGCATACAGCTTTGAGTTTTTCCTCCTGCCTGAGTGTTGGTGCTAGCGCCCTGAATGCCACTGCATCCTCGTATCGTAACTGCAGGGCGGGTGACAGCAGAGAGTGTGGTGTACAGCTTACAGCTTCGGCCTCGTTCATTTCACATCTGTGGTGTTATTCTCCCTCTTTGTGTCTACATCCTCGTTACTGCAGGGAGGGTGAGTGCAGAAAGCGTGGTCTACAGCTTTGGGCTCATTCTTCTGGCCCTCTTTAGTGGAAAGAGCATTCGGCCCACACAGGTAAGAGCCCTTGACCTTCAGATGCCTAACATGTGCACTCAAACCGTTCCAAGTATGCGGTCAAGCCAACCAGGCTCAAGCACGGTCGCCCTGCTCGAATCGCCTGTCATTCTCTTTACTTCAACCCCCTTCACTCTCATTCACTTCTCTCCTCCTCTACGCTCCCCTCTTCACCCCCTCAGTTCCTAGAGCTGGTGGAGGAGAAGCAGGATCTCTCCCTCCTGCTCAACAGCATCCTGCTCTCTCACCCCCCGAGAGTGGAGTTTGCTGTGGAGCTCGTGCCCCTCATTGCCTATTACTACCATCCCTCTTGCTCCTTCCCTCTAGTCCTCACCCACTCCCCCCCACCGTCCCCTTCACTGCCCTCAGTTCCTCCAGTGGGTGGAGGAGAAGCAGGACCTGACTCTACTGCTTGACAGCAACCTGCCCTCGCACCCACCAAGCGTGGCGTTTGCCCCGGAGCTCGTGCCCCTCGTTGCCTCTTACTACCGTCCCTCCCCTCTCCTCCCCCACGCTTCCTCTATTCCCCCCCCCCCCCCCCCCCCTTTTTATCTCTTCAGTTCCTCGAGATGGTGGAGGAGAAGCAGGATCTATCATTGCTGTTGGACAGCAACCTGCCCTCGCACCCACCAAGCGTGGCGTTTGCCCCGGAGCTTCTGCCCCTCGTTGCCTCTTACTACCGTCCCTCCCCTCTCCTCCCCCACGCTTCCTCTATTCCCCCCCCCCTTTTGATCTCTTCAGTTCCTCGAGATGGTGGAGGAGAAGCAGGATCTATCATTGCTGCTGGACAGCAACCTGCTCTCGCACCCACCAAGCGTGGAGTTTGCTCTGGAGCTCGTGCCCCTCATCGCCGAGTGCCTGAAGAGAGACCCGGGGGAGCGGCCTCCTATGGACAGCATTGCGGAGTTCCTTGGGATCCTGGACGACAGAAGCAGGGTGAGTGGAATGAGGTGTTGAGTGGTGTTGAGTGGTTTTGAGTGGTGTTGAGTGGTGTTGATTGGTGTTGAGTGGTGTAGGTAGGATTGCAGTGATTCCTGAAGCTCGTGCCACTCATTGCCGAGTGCCTCAAGAGAGACCCAGGGGGCGGCCTCCAACCTTGGGATTTATTTACAGCTTCTGCTCCTACCGCAGCCGAACCGGCCGTTCCCTCCGCTTCTGCTGCTGCTGCTGCGGCCTCGGCGTTGGCTGCCATGGCGGGTGCCTCCTCTTACCACTCTCTACCACTCTGTGCCACTCTGGTTCTCTTACCCCCTGGCAGGGTACTGGCAATCCGCCCGCGGTTGCGGGTGGACGGGAGGAGGGGAGCAGGGGCTGGCGCTTCTCCTGCTGCTGCTGCTGCTAAACCCCCAGTGTTGGCCCATGCTGCCGTGGTGGGTGACGGCTCTTACCACCCTTTACCACTCCTCACCACTCTGTGCCACCTGTTTCTCGGTTCCCTGGCAGGGTATTGGCAATTCGCTCGCCGTAGCGGGTGGAGGGGAGGAGGGAGCAGGGACTGGCGCTTCTCCTGCTGTTGCCGCGCCCTCGCCGCTGGCACGTGCTGCCATGGCGGGCGACTGGGGCATGCTGCACGGGAGGCTGGTGACAGTGTCGTTCACGCCGCCCCAGGAGGTGAGAGCAGTGCAATGGTCGCACACACGCCTGTATACCGGTTTGATTGAGGTGTGCTGTGTACCAAGCCCCCCCGGTGCTGCTGTGGCGGGTGGGTGACTGGGGCATGCTCCACCGGAGGCTGGTGACCTCGTTCACACCGCCCCATGCGTGAGGAGTCTATTTTTGAGGCGCCTCAAAAATAGACTCCACCGGAGGCTGGTGACCTCGTTCACACCGCCCCAGGAGGTAGGAGCATTGTGACATGAGACTAAACCCCTTATTGAGGTTCCTATCGAGTCACTACTGTTCGTTTCTACACCGCGCCTCTCAAGTCACCCCCCGTCCTGCCGAGGTGGGTGACTGGGGCGTGCTGCCCTAGAGGCTTGTCTCGGTACCTCCTCTACACGAGGAACCTGCCTAGATGGTCGGTACGAACCATAAGTTTGGTACTTAACTAAAGGTATGGAACGCGGGGGCACAGGACCTGGCGTAGCCCAGGCAGGGGCGGCAGCATGGCTTTCCCTCTCGTACTTCTCCTGACTTCTGCTGTTCCCTCGTTTAAATCTTCCCCCCCCCCCCCCCCCCTCCCCCCCCCTCCCCCTGTGCTTCCACCAGCCGTCCTTTGAGCTAAGTGGAGAAATACGCGTCCAGCGTATTATACGCTGTACGCTTCATTATGGGATTGGATATGCTAGGAAATACGCTCTGGCGGGCAGGTATAAAAACAACTCGGGCAGGGGTAAAAAAAACCTGTTTGGGGAGGGAAGAGGGGGGGTTCAGAGCACCAAATTCCCCCCACCAAATGTGGCATCATTTAGCATGGTAATAAATAAATAGTTCAAGCCACCAAGGGCATGTCAAGGGTTCCAAACTCCAACAACCAGCCAACCACCCATCTCAGGTAAGCCTCCCCCAAACCGCCCGCCTAACCCTCTCCTGCTCTGCTCTACAGGTACTCGTCCAGCAGCTCCTCATCTTCGCCCTCCTCATCCTCCTCCTCCCGATCCACCCTGTACCCCGCAGGGACGGGGGCGTCCGGGATGTTACCGGACACCACCCCCGCCCCCTCGTCGGCCATGTGCCAGTTGTGCACAACCTTCCAGTTGTGCGCAACGTAAACCAGATCCTTGCACTTTTCTGAACCCAGCCGGTTGCGTCGGGCGGTGTGGACAGTATCCCACACCGCCCAGTTGCGCTCGCAGCTGGATGCAGACACCGGCTGAGTTAGAACTCGGCAAGCAAGGGCCATGAGCAAGGGGTGGTCAGTGCCGTGCCACTCCCACCACGCGTCCATGGAATAACTTCCTTCCTTCACCAACTTCCGGTCACTGATGGCCTCAGCCGTGCCGAAGCTGCCCCTCAACTTCAGAAAGGCGGCCAACCCTTCCTGCAGGAGGAGTGTGGCACGCTTGGGCAGGCCATCCCTCTGGGGAATCATCACCACGCCATAGTGGCAGGCAATGAATGCTTTGAACACATTGGTGCACTCCGTGTCCGGCCCAAAAATCCGCTCCTCCTGGTTGACCGGGTTAAGAATCCGCCCGACCACGTGCAGTGGGCAAGCCATACTCTCATCCCAACGCTGCTTCACAATCTCATTGACGCCCTTCTTGTCTCCCGCACTCAGCACCCCATCCCCCTCCTCCTTCAGCAGTTCTGCCACATTCACAGTGAGCTCAAGCATCAGCTCATAGATGCGGCCCATCATCCCTTTCGTTGCCGAATCCGTCGCCCTCATGGCCTTGAACGGGAGCAGGAGCAGCCTCTTGAAGAGCTCAGCCGCTGGCCACCAGTCCTTATCCATGATCTGGTCGTGGAATGTCTCTGCAGCTGCCTTCTTTGGGCCCACCGCCCACTCCGCCTTCCATGCATCGGAGAGCACCATGGTCACCAGCGTTGACCGCAACTCCACCAGGCGGGACACAGCAATGTGCTGCGTCCCAAACCTGGTCCCCGCCGGCCTCAGCATCTGCAGCCCCTTCCCTCCGTCCACACCCCTGAGATACTGTCGGGTCCAATGGTGGCTGCGGGTGTAGTTGATGAGCTCGCTCGCCCGCCCCACTACCTCCTTGGCCCAAGCCTGCCGTTTCACATCTTCCATAAGGAGGTCGAGCACGTGCGTCGCACACGGCACATGCTCGATGCGCGGATTCTCTGCAATGAGGAGCCGGCAGGCGCTGTGGTAGTTGCTGCCGCCATCGGTGCAGAATGCCACGATGTTCTCGACCCCAACCTTTTGCAGGATGGGCCGGAGGAGCCGGGCGATGTACCCCCCGGTCTTTTTCTCCATCGTGCAGTCAATACTCTCGACGAACACTGCGCCGGTGTCATTGACTAGCATCACATTCGCCTGCGGCCTGCCACACTTGTCGGTCATCATGTCGCTGGCAATCGTCACGCCGTGGCGCTTCCAGCTCGACATGACGCCCGTCAATCCCTCGTCAATCCGCTTGCGGCATAGCTGCAAGCCGGCACCACCCACGTAGTCGCGCTTTGGAGGCACATAGCTGGTCCCCGCGCGCGCGATGGACCGGACGGCGTTGCGCCAAAGCGGGTGGTCGGCATGGCGCTCGGGAAGGCGGAGGCCGGCAAAGAGGAGGCAAATAGCCTCGTCCGCCGCCGCCTTGGCCGCTTGGGCGTCATCGGACAGGTAATCGGTGATCTTCCGCTTTCCTCGACCACTAACGGCGTCGAGGGCTGACTCCTCCGCCCTATGCGCCTCCTCCCTCGCGAGCACTTTGGCGGTTTGGAACGCGCGGACGGCAGCCTGCTCCTCCTTCCCTACCTCCTCGCATTTCCGAACCTCGCGCCTACGCATACCATCCCAACTAGTGATGTGCTGTGCGCAGCGGTAGGCCGTCCCGGTAAAGGATACGGGGCAGTACTTGCACCAATACTTTTGCTGCTTGCCGTGCTCCTTATGCTTAAACTTGAAATGCTTAAAGATAACGTGGGTGGAGTTCTCCAGGAGCTCGTCAGAGGAAGACGCAGCACAGGAGGTTCCCGCGTCGGTTCCGTGGGAACCAGGACTAGGTGGAGGGTTCGACATAGCAACAGTCGCTAAAAAACCAGCTAGCTAGTCGCGCTAGCTTGGAAGAAGAAATGACTGAAGTTAGCGCGCCAGTTTACTTGTACCCTGATTTCGTCGTAGGAGTGAACTGCGCTGAACCCTGCTGGAGTAGAGTAGAGAGGGAGAGGAAGGAGATTTCTTTGGGTGTTGTTTGGAAGTCGCAGATTGGGTGGGATGCTGTGTGGTTGGGAGGGGCGAAGGGGTTGGGTTGACGATTTGAAAAGCCTAATTTCGGTTTGCGACATGGCGAAATCCCTGTGGGGTTTCGTCATGTCGCAAATTTGTCGCATCGTTTTTTGCGTATTTCTTGCCGGGCTGCCCGCCAAGAAATACGCTAGCGTATTGCGTACTTAGCTAGCGTACAGCGTATTCGTATTATACGCTAGCGTATGTACGCAATACGCTAGGCTGCCCAAGCGTATTTCTCCACTTAGCCTTTGAGTTGTGAAAGCTTGGAGGTGCAGGATCTGGTGTCGTCCAGGCAGAGGGGCCACACGGCCTTATGGCATGTGCACTCATCCTCTTTCCTTCCCCCACCCCTCTCTCCCCGGCTCCTCTCACCTTCATACAGCCGTCCCTTGAGGGGTGGAATGCAGAGGTCGAGGATTCGGTGTCGTCCAGGAGGCAGAGGGGCGACAAGGCCTAAGTGTTACCTTGAGCTCAATCCTCCACCCCCCTGCTCGCCCTCCCCCCGTCTGTACCAGTTACCTCATCCCACTCCCTCCAGCCATCCTTTGAGGTGTGGAAGGCGGAGGTGCAGGATCTAGTGTCGGCCAGGCAGAGGGGCGTTATCGCACTTGCACTCAGCCTCTCCCCCCCCCCCAGCATACAGCCATCCTTTGAGGTGTGCAACGCGGAGGTGCAGGATCAGGTGTCGGCCAGGAGCATCATGGTGCTGATTGAGTGTTACTTGTACTCGTTCCACAATCCCCTCTCTCCCGTTTGCACCCCTTCGCCGCTCCCAGCCGTCCTTTGAGGTGTGGAACTCGGAGGTGCAGGACCTGGTGTCGTCCAGGCAGAGGGGCCACAAGGCCTCAATTGAGTGTTACTTGTGCTCGTTCCACACTCCTCCCTCTCCGCTTTGCACCCCGTCGCCCCTCTCTACCCCTTTTCCCCGCCAGCCGTCCTTTGAGGTGTGGAATGCGGAGGTGCAGGACCTGGTGTCGTCCAGGCAGAGGGGCGACAAGGCGTTCAAGAACCAGCAGTGGGAGGAGGCGATTGCGCTCTATACCAAGGTGATTATAAGGGGAGAGGAGCGGCTTGTACGTGGGGCCTTTGGGGAGGAGAGAGACAAGGACCAGCAGTGGTTGAAAGTTGTTCCACTCTGTTGTTCCACTCTGTTGTTCCACTCTGTTGTTCCACTCTGTTGTTCCACTCTGCTGTTCCACTCTGTTGTTCCACTCTGTTGTTCCACTCTGTTGTTCCACTCTGCTGTTCCACTCTGTTGTTCCACTCTGCTGTTCCACTCTGTTGTTCCACTCTGTTGTTCCACTCTGTTGTTCCACTCTGTTGTTCCACTCTGTTGTTCCACTCTGTTGTTCCACTCGGTTGTTCCACTCTGTTGTTCCACTCTGTTGTTCCACTCTGTTGTTCCACTCTGCTGTTCCACTCTGTTGTTCCACTCTGTTGTTCCACTCTGTTGTTCCACTCTGTTGTTCCACTCTGTTGTTCCACTCTGTTGTTCCACTCTGTTGTTCCACTCTGTTGTTCCACTCTGCTGTTCCACTCTGTTGTTCCACTCTGCTGTTCCACTCTGTTGTTCCACTCTGTTGTTCCACTCTGCTGTTCCACTCTGCTGTTCCACTCTGTTGTTCCACTCTGTTGTTCCACTCTGCTGTTCCACTCTGTTGTTCCACTCTGCTGTTCCACTCTGTTGTTCCACTCTGCTGTTCCACTCTGTTGTTCCACTCTGCTGTTCCACTCTGTTGTTCCACTCTGCTGTTCCACTCTGTTGTTCCACTCTGTTGTTCCACTCTGCTGTTCCACTCTGCTGTTCCACTCTGTTGTTCCACTCTGTTGTTCCACTCTGTTGTTCCACTCTGCTGTTCCACTCTGCTGTTCCACTCTGTTGTTCCACTCTGTTGTTCCACTCTGTTGTTCCACTCTGCTGTTCCACTCTGTTGTTCCACTCTGCTGTTCCACTCTGGTGTTCCACTCTGTTGTTCCACTCTGTTGTTCCACTCTGCGAATTTCCTGCCCTAGTCCTCCACCGTCACCTCCCTCTCCTCCCTCCCCCCCCCCCCCTCCTTTCCTGCGATTTCCGTTCTCTTTTCCTCCTTGCAACAGTTCCTCAAGTGCGACTCGCCGCCCATTCCCATGCTCTTTGCACGGCGTTGCTTGTCCCATCTGCAATTGGAGCACTGGGAGGAAGCGCTCCAGGACGCCCTGCAGGTGAGGACATGGCCTGCCATCCAGATTCGGACTACGGAAATTATTCAGATAGCAACAAGTCGGCATAAAATTTGGGCAACAGGTGCATGGTGCCAGTTTTTTAAAAGCCCTAAAGTCTGGCATCAATACATTCCATCCCCCACTGAGGATTTCTGTTCCCCTTGCGTGTCCTCTATCCTCTGTCATTTCAAACGATGTTTTTTCCTGCGCTCCTCTTCTACCACCCTCCTCTTTCTTCCAATCCCAGCAGTCCAAGCCATCTTGGCCCGAAGCAAGCAAGCTATGCGGCTGCAGCCACTCTGACCACACTGGGCGCCAACCCTTCATGTTCCCGTCTTTCGTCACTCGCGCTTGTGTTCTGCACTGCCTCCCAGTCCTCTCCCCTCCCCGTCCCAGCCGCAACAAACCAAGCCTTCTTGGCCGGAGGCAACCTGCATGCTGACAGCAGCACACAGCAGACTGGGTTTGAACCCTACCCCCACTGCTCTACATCCCACTCCCCCTTGTTCACCCTACTACATTTCCCCCCTCTTGCCCAGGCACAACAATCCAAGCCACCATGGCCTGAAGCAACCTACCTGGTGGCAGCCGCACTCAGCAGACTGGGGAGGGCAGATGAGGCGCAGGAGATGGTGATTGCGGGTGGCAGACTGGAACACAAGAGCTGATACCGGGCGGCAGAATGAAACAAGAAAGGCTGATGGTGGGCGGCGGTCTGCAACAAGGGGAATGGTTGCCCGCAGATGGTAAAGCATAGTTGAGACCTGGGAGCAGACAGGGGCAGACTGGAAATGGGTAAGTTCATTTGCTTTGGGTGTCGCATGTCCTACTTGTGCTCACACTTTTCTGAATCTAGAATGTGTAGGTCAGTATAGGCCATATGATTCTAAGTGAAAGATTTCTGATCACAAGGAGTCATTTATATTAATCTGTACCTTCAATGTTAAGGGCTGTGGCTCCTTTAGCTACCCATGCTATTAAAATTTGGTGATTATCTCCTTCACAGGAGTGGAGATGCATGACTTTGAACCTAGACGTGGAGATGCACAAGAGTGCGTCGATGATCGCGTATACCGACAATCAGCCATTCAACGGTCACCGAACATGCCCTGGTTCCCAGACCAACCATACGCCGAGCCAAACTCCCTGAAGCTCGGCTTGCTCGGCTTGTGCGTCCTGGGGCCATGGAGATGAAGCGTCTCATCACTTTCCCTCCGTGGTGCCAACTGACGCGAAAGTTTCGCCGCGCTTCGTGTTGCGCGAAAGTGGGCGCCGAAAATATTTTGCCGTTCCCCTCCCTCTTTTGGAGTATGGGCCCCGTAGCAAGAAATAGGCGAATACACCACCTTCAAAGTTGTATAGAAGAATATTTTAGCCCTGCCCACGACCGTCCTCGATGCACAAAGGAGCTGCAACCGAATGTCGGCAGTTGCCGTGGCACCGAAGCAGCCGCCGCGCGTTCTACAGTGCAGCCTCGGGAATTCATGCCGCCGTAACATTCGTGCGATGGTCGCCCAGGTCACGGTTGGCATCACAGCACGCAGTGGCGATTTTGCGAAGCTTGCGAAAGCCAGTTAGTGGTTGCCGAGCTTCGCGAGCGCGATAAACGAAAACCAATTCTACCCTTGCCCGTCCACTGACCATGGCTGCCCACTGCATGAAGAACGTGAGAGCAGGCACATCAGGGCGTTTCCCCTGGGTACATTCTCTCTCAATACCCTAGTCAACCGTTTTGGAACGCTTTGTAACCTTCTAACTCAAATAGGCATCTCACCCAACCGCAACCAAACATACGCGGGGGACCCTCCCTAGTAGCAGAGGTTGATCTGTCCCTCGGGTTAGCTTACCTGCTTGGCCCGAACACGTGACACGGTCTGACCTTGCCCTGAGTTGGTGCCACAACACCGACATCCCTGTCTTCCACGCTTCCTAAATCCTGAAATCTCTCTCCGCCTACCAGGCATACCCATGCATGCATGTTTGCTCGCAACGCGAGCAACTCGTCGACCCCTGTATCCCCTCCCCAGGAGTCGTGGCATGACACGGCTCGTCGCCCTGTAGACCTCTCACTCAGGTGTTGCCGCGACCCTAGGGGTCGGTCGGCACTACGCTCTCGGGGCGCAACAGCCGCTCAAAGCTCGACTACACTGACGAAGAGCCTCCTCCGTAGCTCCTCGAATCCTGGCATCAGCGTGGTTCTGCGAGAAACCGCCGATTGCGGTGCAGCATCGTACCAGTCCGACCGCACAGCTTTGAGTAAAAACATCTTAGCACCCGCGCAGCTTGGAGTTGGGCCTTGAGGGGACGTAGCGGCTTCCTATAGGGATATGTTGGAGGAATTGCAACAGCCTTCTACGTTTAGTACAGTAGTTTCCAGAGCGGAAGGAGGGCGGACTGGTGTCGCTTTTCATTTACCGAGCTTCTGGCACGAAACCGTCTCGACCTTCCCTAACCCGACCTGAAATCCCCTTGTTTGCCGCACGTTGATCCGCTCCTCTCGCTTTGTGTATCACATTCAAGAGAGCTGGTCGCGCCCCTCGCGCCGCAATTCGCGGGGTGCATACGACATAGTAACTTTCTTGCCTTTCGCCAAGTCGTATGCCCTCGCGCGCCGTTGCGCATCGTCTTTAGGGGTTCATTCCTACAATCGGCTAGTTGCGTCGTTCCGTTCTGACGAGATCAGACGTTTTTTGTTTTTTTCTGTCAAGTCGAAGGCTAAGCCGGTCAGGACACGCCACTTGGCGACTGGGAAACTCCGTGGAAGACTTTTGAGTTTCGATTTGACCGCCGCCTCAAAAGCAGTGAATCGTATCTCGATTTGACTTTCGATTCGCACTACGTCACTTTCCAGTGATCAGGGTTTAGGGAGCACTGGATTGAGTTGAAACGGCCTTACTCATACCTTAGATCAAGTGATCAGCAGTCAGCTAGCGTTGGGAGATTGGACGCGCTCAAATCGACGGCCTTTGATAAAACTTCACAGTAAATCACGACGGCAAAGGGCGCGCTTTTACGACGGTTTACGACGGCAAATCACGACGTCAAAGTACTTTGCGCCCAGCGGTTTCGAAAGCAGTCCTCGCTGTAAGCAGAATCTTTTCTACCCGATGCCCTCGATGGAAGTACACTGATCGGGGGTAATCGCCTCGTGAGATCAGTATCTATTAAATTTCACGGCTTGTGACTGCAGCGAGGTGACTATAACGAGGTCATCTCTAGGCAGGCGTAATGGCCCCCTGCCGTGGCTTCATGCACCGGCGCCGGGACTGGGAACGCTCCCTTATTAGCCGACGCGCTTGGTGTAGCGGGACGGTTGCGCTCCTTGCGCTCATCGCCGCTCTCTCCGCAACTTCCCCAGGTGCGCTCCCCCGCGTTTCTTCCCCCTCGCACCGACCCCTGCTCCGCCCACCTCCCCCCAACGCTTCCGCTCACCGTGCCCCCTAGCGCTTCCTACCACTCCGCCCGCTCCCGCGTGTCTTATCACCCTTCCGCCCCGCGCTTCCTACCGCTCTTTCCCCACCCTCCTTGCCTCCGCTTCCCCGCTCTTACCCCCTGTTTCCCTCCCCCCTCCTCCTTCCCCCCCCGTCCTTCCCCCACCCGTCCCTTCTCCGCCCCCCCCCCCTCGTCTCTCCCTCTCGCCTCGCCCCCCAAGCAGCATCCGCGCAGTATCTCTTCCCCGCCATCCCCGCGCCCCCTCCCCCCAACGCGTCCGCTTCCGCATCATCCTTTCAGAACGCGGAACGCAATACAAGGGCGGACAGCAATGGGGCGGGTACTAACGAGGACGCGCTAGCAGTGGTGACTATAGCGGGGCCCAGGCTAAGGGAGGTGCCTGGTAGGCAACAAGTGAAACCCGCTTCGCTATCCGCTGCCACGTCAGCAGCTACAGCTACCGCTACAGCCGCCGCTGCTACAGTAGCGACGGACTCGTCTGGGTTACCGAGACGCAGTAGAGAGGAGCTCTATATCGTGTATTTCAGAGACGTGCCGTCGGTGGTTGACTATAAGGGGGGCATCCCCGGGCTTGCCGCTACAGCCGCTCCCGCTACAGACGATGGCCTCACTGCCGCCGCTGCTGCCGCCGCTACAGCTGGTACTGACGATGCAGGTGCTGTCACCGCTACAGCCGCTACAGCCGGTTCAGATGATATAGGTGCTACAGATGATGCTGATGATGGCGATGGCATGGAGGCTGGGTATGATGCCGATGCTACAGGCGCCGCTTACGCTACAGATGGTGGTACAGACGCAGTGGGAGCAGCAAGGGGAAGCGCGTCAGTATCAGCATCGGTTGCACCAGCAGCAGCAGGAGGCACAAGAGGAGCATCAGGAGCAAGAGGAATAGGAAGAGGCAGAGGCAGAGCGGCAGCGGCAGCAGCGGCGGTGCAGGCGATGAGGGTGTTGGACGGGCCGAGGGGGAGAGGCAGGGTGGACGCGAGGGACGGCAACGTGAGGGCGTTCGCTCAGTTCCTGACGGGCGTGCAGCAGCACATGCTGCAGACCGTCGGCATTCCCAAGGGCAGGATCGTCCACAGGTGAGGGAGAGGAAGTGAGGGTGAGAGGAGGTTATTGAGCGGAGGTGAGGGTGAGGAGGTTATTGAGCGGAGGTGAGGGGGCAGTGACTGTGCAGAGCTCGGTATTCCCAAGGGCAGACGATCCACACGCCGCAGTTCCTGCAGCTGCCATGGCTCTGACACAAGCTCCCGGTTTCCCTCCCTACTCCCACCGTCCCCCCAGCTACCGCTACGTGGTGAATGCAGGGAGCGTCCGGGTTAACCCCTCTTGAATGCAGGGAGCGTCCGGGTTAACCCCTCTTGAATGCAGGGAGCGTCCGGGTTAACCCCTCTTGAATGCAGGGAGCGTCCGGGTTAACCCCTCTTGAATGCAGGGAGCGTTCGGGTTAACCCCTCTTGAATGCAGGGAGCGTCCGGGTTAACCCCTCTTGAATGCAGGGAGCGTCCGGGTTAACCCCTCTTGAATGCAGGGAGCGTCCGGGTTAACCCCTCTTGAATGCAGGGAGCGTCCGGGTTAACCCCTCTTGAATGCAGGGAGCGTTCGGGTTAACCCCTCTTGAATGCAGGGAGCGTCCGGGTTAACCCCTCTTGAATGCAGGGAGCGTCCGGGTTAACCCCTCTTGAAGCACGTCGCCTCAAGCGCCACGAGTCGGTGCTGAAAGTGGAGTGCTGCCAAACCTTGAGTCCGTGGTCAAGGTTGCCAGTCAGCCTCGGTGCAGACGATCCATCCACACGTCGCAGCTCCTGCAGCTGCTGTGGCTCTACTAACAAGCGCTCTTTGTTCTCTTCCCCCCCCCTTCCTCCCTCCCTCCCTCCCCCCCCCCCTCTCCCTCCCTCCCCCCTCCCTCCCTCCCTCGCCACCCGCTCCCTCCCTCCCTCCCTCCCTTCCCCCCCCCCAGCTACCGCTACGTGCTGAACGCAGTGAGCGTGAGGCTCACCCGCCTCGAAGCACGTCGCGTCAAGCGCCACGTGTCAGTATTGAAGGTGGAGCGCTGCCAAACGGTCACCGTGCAGACGATCCACACGCCGCAGTTCCTGCAGCTGCCGTGGCGCGTGTGGCCGAGCCTGGGGGGCAGGAGCAAGGCGGGCAACGGCATGATCATTGGGGTCGTGGACACAGGCATCTGGCCCGAACACCCGAGCTTCAGTGATAAGGTGGGTATGTGTGTGTGTATGTGTGTTACATGGTAACATGCAGAGTGTGCCGAAATGGGCATGATGATTGGGGTCTGTGTGCCTCTGTGTGTGTGTGTGTGTGTGTGTGTGTGTGTGTGTGTGTGTGTGTGTGTGTGTGTGCATGCATGCGTGAGTGCGTGTGTGCGTGTGTGTGTTACATGGTAACATGCCCAATGTGCTGACACTGGCATGACCATTGGGATCGTGGATACGATACAGGCATCGGGCCCCAACACCTGAGCTTCGGTGACAAGCGACTTCAAGAGCTGCAGCCACAAGATCATCGCCTCTTTCCCTCCTACCCTCCCCGGCCCCATCTCTCTCCTCCTTCCTGTATCACAGGGCTATGCGACCACCTATATCCTTCTCTCACCACCACCAGCGACTTCAAGAGCTGCAGCCACAAGATCATCGCCTCTTTCCCTCCTACCCTCCCCGGCCCCATCTCTCTCCTCCTTCCTGTATCACAGGGCTATGCGACCACCTATATCCTTCTCTCACCACCACCAGCGACTTCAAGAGCTGCAGCCACAAGATCATCGCCTCTTTCCCTCCTACCCTCCCCGGCCCCATCTCTCTCCTCCTTCCTGTATCACAGGGCTATGCGACCACCTATATCCTTCTCTCACCACCACCAGCGACTTCAAGAGCTGCAGCCACAAGATCATCGCCTCTTTCCCTCCTACCCTCCCCGGCCCCATCTCTCTCCTCCTTCCTGTATCACAGGGCTATGCGACCACCTATATCCTTCTCTCACCACCACCAGCGACTTCAAGAGCTGCAGCCACAAGATCATCGCCTCTTTCCCTCCTACCCTCCCCGGCCCCATCTCTCTCCTCCTTCCTGTATCACAGGGCTATGCGACCACCTATATCCTTCTCTCACCACCACCAGCGACTTCAAGAGCTGCAGCCACAAGATCATCGCCTCTTTCCCTCCTACCCTCCCCGGCCCCATCTCTCTCCTCCTTCCTGTATCACAGGGCTATGCGACCACCTATATCCTTCTCTCACCACCACCAGCGACTTCAAGAGCTGCAGCCACAAGATCATCGCCTCTTTCCCCCCTACCCTCCCCGCCCCCATCTCTCTCCTCCTTCCTGTATCACAGGGCTATGCGACCACCTATATCCTTCTCTCACCACCACCAGCGACTTCAAGAGCTGCAGCCACAAGATCATCGCCTCTTTCCCCCCTACCCTCCCCGCTTCCCCCCATCTCTCAGGGCTACTCTCCTTCCCCCTTCCCCCCATCTCTCAGGGCTCCTCTCCTTCCCCCTTCCCCCCATCTCTCAGGGCTCCTCTCCTTCCCCCTTCCCCCCATCTCTCAGGGCTACTCTCCTTCCCCCTTCCCCCCATCTCTCAGGGCTACTCTCCTTCCCCCTTCCCCCCATCTCTCAGGGCTCCTCTCCTTCCCCCTTCCCCCATCTCTCATGGCTACTCTCCTTCCCCCTTCCCCCCATCTCTCAGGGCTACTCTCCTTCCCCCTTCCCCCCATCTCTCAGGGCTCCTCTCCTTCCCGCTTCCCCCCATCTCTCAGGGCTCCTCTCCTTCCCCCTTCCCCCATCTCTCAGGGCTCCTCTCCTTCCCCCTTCCCCCATCTCTCATGGCTACTCTCCTTCCCCCTTCCCCCCATCTCTCAGGGCTACTCTCCTTCCCCCTTCCCCCCATCTCTCAGGGCTCCTCTCCTTCCCCCTTCCCCCCATCTCTCAGGGCTCCTCTCCTTCCCCCTTCCCCCATCTCTCATGGCTACTCTCCTTCCCCCTTCCCCCCATCTCTCAGGGCTACTCTCCTTCCCCCTTCCCCCCATCTCTCAGGGCTCCTCTCCTTCCCCCTTCCTCCCATCTCTCAGGGCTCCTCTCCTTCCCCCTTCCCCCCATCTCTCAGGGCTACTCTCCTTCCCCCTTCCCCCCATCTCTCAGGGCTAATCTCCTTCCCCCTTCCCCCCATCTCTCAGGGCTCCTCTCCTTCCCCCTTCCCCCATCTCTCATGGCTACTCTCCTTCCCCCTTCCCCCCATCTCTCAGGGCTCCTCTCCTTCCCCCTTCCCCCCATCTCTCAGGGCTCCTCTCCTTCCCCCTTCCCCCCCATCTCTCAGGGCTCCTCTCCTTCCCCCTTCCCCCCATCTCTCAGGGCTACTCTCCTTCCCCCTTCCCCCCATCTCTCAGGGCTACTCTCCTTCCCCCTTCCCCCCATCTCTCAGGGCTCCTCTCCTTCCCCCTTCCCCCATCTCTCATGGCTACTCTCCTTCCCCCTTCCCCCCATCTCTCAGGGCTACTCTCCTTCCCCCTTCCCCCCATCTCTCAGGGCTCCTCTCCTTCCCGCTTCCCCCCATCTCTCAGGGCTCCTCTCCTTCCCCCTTCCCCCCATCTCTCAGGGCTCCTCTCCTTCCCCCTTCCCCCATCTCTCATGGCTACTCTCCTTCCCCCTTCCCCCCATCTCTCAGGGCTACTCTCCTTCCCCCTTCCCCCCATCTCTCAGGGCTCCTCTCCTTCCCCCTTCCCCCCATCTCTCAGGGCTCCTCTCCTTCCCCCTTCCCCCATCTCTCATGGCTACTCTCCTTCCCCCTTCCCCCCATCTCTCAGGGCTACTCTCCTTCCCCCTTCCCCCCATCTCTCAGGGCTCCTCTCCTTCCCCCTTCCTCCCATCTCTCAGGGCTCCTCTCCTTCCCCCTTCCCCCATCTCTCATGGCTACTCTCCTTCCCCCTTCCCCCCATCTCTCAGGGCTAATCTCCTTCCCCCTTCCCCCCATCTCTCAGGGCTCCTCTCCTTCCCCCTTCCCCCATCTCTCATGGCTACTCTCCTTCCCCCTTCCCCCCATCTCTCAGGGCTCCTCTCCTTCCCCCTTCCCCCCATCTCTCAGGGCTCCTCTCCTTCCCCCGTCCCCCCATCTCTCAGGGCTACTCTTCTTCCCCCTTCCCCCATCTCTCATGGCTACTCTCCTTCCCCCTTCCCCCCATCTCTCAGGGCTACTCTCCTTCCCCCTTCCCCCCATCTCTCAGGGCTCCTCTCCTTCCCCCTTCCTCCCATCTCTCAGGGCTCCTCTCCTTCCCCCTTCCCCCCATCTCTCAGGGCTACTCTCCTTCCCCCTTCCCCCCATCTCTCAGGGCTAATCTCCTTCCCCCTTCCCCCCATCTCTCAGGGCTCCTCTCCTTCCCCCTTCCCCCATCTCTCATGGCTACTCTCCTTCCCCCTTCCCCCCATCTCTCAGGGCTCCTCTCCTTCCCCCTTCCCCCCATCTCTCAGGGCTCCTCTCCTTCCCCCTTCCCCCCCATCTCTCAGGGCTCCTCTCCTTCCCCCTTCCCCCCATCTCTCAGGGCTACTCTCCTTCCCCCTTCCCCCCATCTCTCAGGGCTACTCTCCTTCCCCCTTCCCCCCATCTCTCAGGGCTCCTCTCCTTCCCCCTTCCCCCATCTCTCATGGCTACTCTCCTTCCCCCTTCCCCCCATCTCTCAGGGCTACTCTCCTTCCCCCTTCCCCCCATCTCTCAGGGCTCCTCTCCTTCCCGCTTCCCCCCATCTCTCAGGGCTCCTCTCCTTCCCCCTTCCCCCCATCTCTCAGGGCTCCTCTCCTTCCCCCTTCCCCCATCTCTCATGGCTACTCTCCTTCCCCCTTCCCCCCATCTCTCAGGGCTACTCTCCTTCCCCCTTCCCCCCATCTCTCAGGGCTCCTCTCCTTCCCCCTTCCCCCCATCTCTCAGGGCTCCTCTCCTTCCCCCTTCCCCCATCTCTCATGGCTACTCTCCTTCCCCCTTCCCCCCATCTCTCAGGGCTACTCTCCTTCCCCCTTCCCCCCATCTCTCAGGGCTCCTCTCCTTCCCCCTTCCTCCCATCTCTCAGGGCTCCTCTCCTTCCCCCTTCCCCCATCTCTCATGGCTACTCTCCTTCCCCCTTCCCCCCATCTCTCAGGGCTAATCTCCTTCCCCCTTCCCCCCATCTCTCAGGGCTCCTCTCCTTCCCCCTTCCCCCATCTCTCATGGCTACTCTCCTTCCCCCTTCCCCCCATCTCTCAGGGCTCCTCTCCTTCCCCCTTCCCCCCATCTCTCAGGGCTCCTCTCCTTCCCCCGTCCCCCCATCTCTCAGGGCTACTCTTCTTCCCCCTTCCCCCCATCTCTCAGGGCTACTCTCCTTCCCCCTTCCCCCCCATCTCTCAGGGCTACTCTCCAATCCCCGCTCGTTGGCGTGGCACATGCACCACCACCAGGGACTTCAAGTGCCCCCCTTCCCCCCAACCCCTCTGTCTCTTTCCTATGGTGCAGGGCTACTCCCCCGTGCCTGCTCGCTGGCGTCGCACGTGCACCACCACCAGCGACTTCAAGAGCGGCCGGAGGAACATCATCGCCTCATTCCCCCCCTTTTCCTCCTCCCCCATCTCTCTCTTTCCTATATCACAGGGCTACTCACCAGTCCCCGCGCGCTGGCGTGGCACGTGCACCACCACGAGCGACTTCAAGAGCTGCAGCCGCAAGATCATCGGCGCACGCTACTTTGTTGAGGGCCTCTTGGCGTCAGACGGCGTTCTGGATCCCTCGGTGGAGTACCTGTCCCCGCGAGACGCCAGCGATCATGGCACCTGGTGTGCTGGGTATGTTACTGGTGGTTTTTTCCACATGCTAGTGTGTGCAAAGTGGTACCATTGTAGGCTACTTCGCGGAGGGTCTCTTGGCGTCGGATGGCGTGCTGGACCCCTCTGTGGGGTACCTGTCGCCCCGCGATGCCAGCGACCATGGCACCTGGTGTGCCGGGTGAGTGCATGGGGTGAGTGCGTGGAGTGAGTGCGTGGAGTGAGTGCGTGGAGTGAGTGCGTGGGGGGTGAGTGCGTGGGGGGTGAGTGCATGGTGGCATGGGGGCATGGGGGCATGGGGGCATGGGGGCATGGGGGCATGGGGGCATGGGGGCATGGGGGCATGGGGGCATGGGGGCATGGGGGCATGGGGGCATGGGGGCATGGGGGCATGGGGGCATGGGGGCATGGGGGCATGGGGGCATGGGGGCATGGGGGCATGGGGGCATGGGGGCATGGGGGCATGGGGGCATGGGGGCATGGGGGCATGGGGGCATGGGGGCATGGGGGCATGGGGGCATGGGGGCATGGGGGCATGGGGGCATGGGGGCATGGGGGCATGGGGGCATGGGGGCATGGGGGCATGGGGGCATGGGGGCATGGGGGCATGGGGGCATGGGGGCATGGGGGCATGGGGGCATGGGGGCATGGGGGCATGGGGGCATGGGGGCATGGGGGCATGGGGGCATGGGGGCATGGGGGCATGGGGGCCGTCATGCCGTCCTAGGGGTGTATGAGGTCATTTGGATGCATTTGGATGCAGGGCAAGCTGACCTCATACCATGCTACCCCCCTCATCAACCCCTCCCCTTGCCCCCACTGCCCTTTCCTCTCACTAATTACAGAGCTGCTGCTGGTAACCCAGTGAAGGTATCTGGTGGTGGGACGGCCCAGTACGGCACGGCAAGTGGCATGGCACCGAGAGCAAGGATAGCCGTCTATAAGGCCATCTGGATGCAGGGCAAGCTGGCCGTCGGATCAGACTCGGATGTGTTTGCAGCCGTTGATCGTGCGGTGGCGGACGGCGTGGATGTGCTGAGCATGTCAGTGGCGATCAACGAGGAGACGTACTTCAAGCATCTGGCCATGCTCAGAGCCGCAAGGGTAAGCTGCTAGGTTTTATCCTGTGCATATCTGAGCATGTCATTGGCGTTCAACGTGGAGACCTACTTCGAGCACCTGTCCATGCTGCGAGCTGCTAGGGTACGTAAAGGTTTGAGGCGCCTCAATTCAATCGCTGCTAGGGTACGTAAAGGTTTGAGGCGCCTCAATTCTATCGCTGCTAGGGTACGTAAAGGTTTGAGGCGCCTCAATTCTATCACTGCTAGGGTATGTAAAGGTTTGAGGCGCCTCAATTCTATCGCTGCTAGGGTGCGTAAAGGTTTGAGGCGCCTCAATTCAATCGCTGCTAGGGTACGTAAAGGTTTGAGGCGCCTCAATTCTATCGCTGCAAGGGTGCGTAAAGGTTTGATGCGCCTCAATTCTCTCTCTCTCTCTCTCTCTCTCTCTCTCTCCCTCAATGCTATCGCTGCTAGGGTGCGTATAGTAGAGCTCATGCGGTCATGAGGTCATGAGGTCATGAGGTGATGAGGTGACTTTTGAGTCGTAGAGCTCATGAGCGAAACGAGGCGCCTCAAAACTAGACCCCAATCGCTGCCAAAGGGGTACGTGTATTCAAGCACTTGCGTCGTGGATGGGGTGGGGATGTGTGCTGGGAGCACGTCAGTGGCGATCAACAACGAAACCTACTTGAAGCATGGACGGTGTGGATGTAGCTGAGGGATGCCAAGGTACGCTCTATGCTGCATCGGCTGAGAGCATGTCAGTGGGGATCAAGAAAGGGACCTGCTTCAAGCACCTGGCGATGCTGCGAGCTGCCAGGGTGATTTTCTGCTTTTTTCTATTTCCTTTTCCTGCTTTTTTCTTGCCCAGAATCATGTCAATAGCTGCTAGGGCAAAATCCGAGCTGCGAAGGTGTCTGAAGTCGAACTTTGCTCGGTAGATAGATGCATGGATGAAGGTGTTCTCTCTTCGAGAATTCTCAAAAAGGTTTTCTCAAAAATAGACTTCTCATGGAAGGAACATAGTGCCAGTGTGTCAAGCTTTGAGGCGCCTCAAAACTGGAACGTAGTGCCAGTGTGTCATGGAAGTAAGGGTGTTTTCTTTCTCTCCAACGCAATGACATCGAGAGTTGCACGTGTCAGTCCTATTGATTCCAATTTATCTCTTCCCATCTCCATGCCATGCCATGCCCCCTCCCCTCCAATCTCGAGCAGGCAGGTGTCTTCGTCTCATTGGTCGCTGGCAACAGCGGTCCCCCTCCCGGCAGCCGCGCAGCCTACCGCACCCTCACCAACCTTTCGCCCTACTACATCACTGTTGCTGCCAGGTGAGTCACTGTTGCTGCCAGGTGAGTCACTGTTGCTGCCAGGTGAGTCGCTGTCGCTGCCAGGTGACTCACTGTTGCTGCCAGGTGAGTTGCTGCAGCGGCCAGGATTTGTAAACCCTATAACCGGGTTTCCCAGCACAGGTTCGATATGTGGTAGAGAGGCCTTACCTCTTGCACTGACCCATATATCTCTCGCAAGGACCTCTCTCGCACATGCTAGCTATCGCACCCTCGCTCGCCGCCACCCTCTCTTGCTTTACACGGTTGCGGCGTGAAAATGCAAACGCCGACATCATACTGCATCCTGTTTCGTGCAGTTTTGTCGCAGTGACATGAAAATGCAGATGCTGCCTGTTAAATAGTGCATGTCTGTATCACACCTGTTTTGGCGTAGCTGCTGGAGATGCGCGGCAGTGCACAATGTAATGCCAGCAGCACTCTCACTCGTCTCTCTGCTAACTCACACTCTCTTTCTTCTTTTCTCTTCTCACCCTCTGTCCCCTCACCAGCACATCCATCCAGGCATGGCCGCCCCTGGCAACGGTAGCTCTAGGCAGCAGGCAGAGCTATGCAGGGAAGACGCTGCTCGGGGGGATGCCATGATGCTACCCCACTCACTCCCTACCTACCTCATCTTCCCTCCCCACCCCCTTCCTCCCTCCCTTCCTCCCTCCCCCTCCCCCCTCCCCCCCGCCCTCCCCCCTCCCCCCCGCCCTCCCTCCCTCCCCCCTCCCTCCCTCCCTCCCTCCCTCCCCTTCTCCCCTCCCCCCTCCCCCCCTCCCCCCTCCCTCCCTCCCTCCCTCCCTCCCTCCCCATCTCCCCTCCCCACCCCCTCCCCCCTCCCTCCCTCCCTCCCTCCCTCCCTCCCTCCCTCCCTCCCTCACTCCCTCCCTCCCTCCCTCCCCATCTCCCCTCCCCACCCCCTCCCTCTCTCCATCTCTATCCACCTCCCCCCCTCCCTCCTCCCCTCCCTCTTTCCCATCATCAGCACGTCCAACCAGGTGTGGCCGCCCCTGGCCAAGCTAGCCCTGGGCAACAGGCAGAGCTACGCCGGGCAGACTCTGCTCGGGGGGGATGCCTCCACGCGCCGGCTGCCTCTGGTGGACGCCAAGACAGCTGCTGCTTCCGGGTTCACACCTAGCCAGGCTGAGGCCTGCATCCCCTACTCGCTATCGCCCTCCAAGGTGCGTTGTTAGGCGCTCTTCTACCACCCATTGTGGTGACTCATGACAAAATTACAAATACACCTTTCCCCCTTCTTCCCCACTTCCCCTCCTATGTGTAACCATCTCTCACGTGGCTTCTCCTATGCGAGTGACAATGCACTTGAGTGGTGCCCAAATACACCCTTCCCCCACCTCCCCTACTTCCCCTCCCACGTGTAACCGTCTCTCAAGTGCGAAGTAGAATAGTGGTGCGGTGCACAGGCATGGGCTTCTCCTATGCAAGCGATAATGCAGTGGGAAGTTGCAGAGCGGGCGGGCGCGCAATTATCACACAGACATACACCCTTCCCCCACCTCCCCTACTTCCCCTCCCACGTGTAACCATCTCTCAAGTGCGTGGCATGGCAAGATAGTGCACACACACACCCCCTTCCCTTCCTCTCCTCTTTCAGGTGCACGGCAAGATGGCCGTCTGCTGCACGGGCTTTTCCTACCCAGGCGAGAAGGCAGTGGAGGTGGCGAGGGTAGGAGGCCGTGCTATCATCATCTCTCTCACTCACACAAACACCCTCCCCTTCCCCTTCCCCCTTCTTGCAGGTGCGTGGAACGATAGTGGTGTGTTGCGCGGGCTTCTCCTACGCGATCGAGAGGGTGTTGAATTCCCAATGGGCTGCATAGTGAAGCATCTGTTTTGAGAACACCCTCCAATGGTGGTGTGCTGCATGGGCTTCTCCTACGCGAGCGAGAGGGCAGTGGAGGCTGCAAGAGTTGGTGGCTGGGCAATCATCATATACACACCCCTTCCCCACCCCCTTCCCTTCCCTGACCCACTCTCATCACGTGTAACCTGCCAGGTGCGTGGCAGGATAGTGGTCAACTGCACGGGCTTCTCCTACTCCCCTCACTCACATACTCCCTTTCCTTCCTCCCCTCACGCAGGTGCGCGGCAAGATAGTGGTCTGCTGCACGGGCTTCTCCTACGCGAGCGAGAAGGCAGTGGAGGTGGCGAGGGCGGGCGGGCGCGCACTCATCATAGTGCCGTACAGCATGGGAGAGGGCGCCATCAAAGCCACCGCCTTGGGATTGCCGGGGCTGTTCCCTGAGTTCTGGAAGGGCAAGGCAATCCGGGAGTACATTCGCAGCACGCCCAAGTGAGTAACGTCTTTGAGTGGGGGGGTCGGGATGAGGGCGACTGAGCAATCACTTGAGGGCAGTGTGGCATTGGGATTGCCGGGGCTGTTTTCTGAGTTCTGGAAAAGGGGGGGGGGGGGGGGAACCATCCGGAGGTACATTTGCAGCACGCGCAGGTCAGCATCCCCACTTTCTCCGCTCCCAATCCCCTTCCCCTCCGCTCCCTCTTCTTCCACTCCTCTCCGCCTCTCTGCCCGCTTCCCCCTCGTCCCCCCGTCCCCCCGTCCCCCCGTCCCCCCGCCCATCCTCTCCCACTCCTCCCCCCCACCCCTCCCCCCCTTCCCTCCGGCACCTGTCACTCTCCCCATTCCCCACAACCCTATCGCAACACTCTGCACCCCCCCGCCCCCCACCCCCACACCTAGTGATCACTCTCAACTCCCCGGTGCGTCCTTGCCCCTCTTCCCATCCCCATCCCCATCCCCATCCCCATCCCCATCCCTTTTCCCCCAATCTCTCTCCGTCTCCCCAGCCCTATAGCAACCCTCGCGCCGCTCTACCTCGCCAGGCAAATCGCGCCCGAAATGGCCAATTTCTCAGGCACGGGCCCCGCCGTCAATCCCGCGGCGGGGTTCTTCGACAGCACCAAGGTCACTAACGCCATATTAAAGCCCGACATCACTGCCCCGGGGGTTTCGCTCCTCGGCCCCATGGCCGCGGGATCCACGGCGGAGGGATCCTTCCGCGCGCTTTCCGGGACGTCTATGGCGACCCCGCATGTGGCGGGCGTCGCGCTTTTGATTATGCAGAAGTACCCGTCTTGGAGCCCCGCTGCCGTGAAATCCGCGATATTAACGACGGCGTATACGACAAATACGGCGAGAGGATATATCCGAACCGCGACGAGACGGGTAGCATCGCCTTGGAATTACGGATCTGGCCATATTTATCCCCCGAAGGCGCTCGATCCGGGATTGGTCTACGACGTGGGTATGATGGGATACTTGTCCTTTCTGACAGGCGTCGACCGCGCGCAAACCAAGGCGGAGTTTCCGCAGTGGACCGTGGCACCGATCCAGCCTTTCAATCTCAATCTACCGAATATCTGCGTGCCAAAGTTGCGGAGGGCCGTGACGGTGTATCGAATGGTGACTAATGTGAGCGGGAAAAACTCGAGGTATTCCGCGCATGTGGTTGCTCCTGCTAATGTCGCTGTGTGGGTGAGCCCGGCGAGCTTTGTGATTGGTCCAAGCAAGTCCCAGACTTTTAGTGTTACCCTACGGCCGAAAGCTGCGACAGGGGTGTTTTCGTTTGGAAGTCTGACGTGGACGGATGGGGTGCATTTGGTGAGATCTGTGTTGGCGGTACAACCAATCGCGGTGTAGCTATCGGAGCATGCCTACTTGGCGGAATGGATTTGTTATGGAATAAAACATTTTTTTAGTCCATGTTGTTGCCCTTAGGATCTTTCCAGAGACTAAGTCCCACTTGTACAAGGTGTTTGAGTAGTGCAGCGGAAGTGTTGAGTAGTTGAACCCTTGCACTAGTATGTGAGAGCAAGTGATTGATTAAAAGAAGCAAGCATACTGCAATATATAGAAAATAGGAAATAGAGCAGTTGTAGAATACAGTTGAAGAAACGGTTATCGAGTCGCACAACGACTCGATCGTTGGTTCGGTTACCACCTTTCCAGTCGTAACGGTCAATCGCAACCTCCGGTTGCGATCCTTCGAGTCCCTTCGTCCTTTCGTGTTCTTTCGTCCAACCTCCTAGTGTAACATCCGTTGAATCGCGTACTCGATACGACTTTCCTGCGAGTGTAGTGTTACACTTCAGAAACGCTCAAGTCTTCGAGGTATTTCCAACACTCCCCTTCGTTTCTGGAGTGCTGATGTGTCCGGATTCGGTGACGTTTATCTGCCCGGTCAGCAACATGTAGTAATCGAACTTTGTCTTTGCCAGTTTCTTCGTCAGGTAATCTGCAGCCATTTCTGTCATGGGGCAGTAACTGAGTTGAAGCCTCTCCTTCGCAATCTCATCTTTGACGAAGAAATACCGCAGGGCAATGTGCTTGGTTCGATTGGCGAACCCGTTTTTGTTCGCGATTTTGATCGCGAATTGGTTGTCGCGGAATAACGAGAAGGCGGGCATGGTCGCAATTTTCGCTTCCTCGAGCAACTCCTGCAGGTAAAGTCCCTCTTTGGTCGCAGAGCAGAGAGCGATGTATTCCGCTTCAGCCGAGGATAGCGCGATTTATCCCTGCTTGCTCGATTGCCAGGAGATAGTCCCGATAGGCTCTAGTCGGTAGATGTAGCCTGTTCTGGAGCGACGATTCTCCCTATCTCCCGCGTGGTCGGCGTCGACATAGCCGAGTAGTTGTACGGACGATGGCGTTACTTTGCTGTAGGTAAGTCCGGTCGTCGGTGTAGAGACGAAGTAGAGCAGTGCCCGATTTAGTTCCTCAAGATCCTATTGCTCCGGCTGCTTCAGGTGTGTCGCCAGTTGGCTCGCGCTGTAGGACAGATCCGTTCGGCAGGTTACAGCTGCGAACGGTACACAGCCGAGCTTCTATTGATATTCCTGGATTTGCTTCGCGGGGAGCTTTGCGGAGGTGTCGCTGTTGTTCCCGTAGCGATAGGGAGTCGCGACTGCGACTGGCATTAGTCTGAATTTCTTCGCGACGACGCCTGCGTACTTTCCGGCGTGTAGGTAGAATGCCGAGTCGTCTTCGACGACGTTCAGACCTAGGTACTGGCTCACGGTGTCTGACACCGTAAGTGTTAAGTCACTCCTCAGCTCCCCTTCGAACCAGGTAACGACATCGGTAGTGGAGCCGACGTAGAGCAGGTCATCGACGTAGACGATGAGTAGGACGAAGTCCCCCCCCTTCTGTAGTCGGTACATCCCTTGATCGTGCGGCAGATGCTAGAAGCCGATCCTGACAAGGCGGTCATGAAGGTGCTGTTGCCAGAGCCGCGGGGCTTGTTTGATTCCATAGAGGGATTTTACCAGCTGGCACACTTTTGTGGGATCGTCGCTGAATCCGTGGGGCTGCTCGACAAAGATTTCGGCGTCCACAGGTGCGTACAAGAAGGCGTTAGCGACATCGATCTGGTGTGGTGATAGCCCTTTCGTGGCCGCGACGGCGAGCAGAATGCGCAGGGAGGTATTTCGAGAGACTGGGGCGAATGTCTCCGTGTAGTCGGTTCCGTATCGCTGGTCGAAGCCTCGTACGACCCAGAGAGCTTTGAAGCGGTCGATGGAGCCATCCGCATTAGTCTTGATGCGGTACACCCATTTCCCCGAGAGCACATCCTTCCCGTTGGTTTTTGTTGCAGGTACCAGCTTCCATGTATTTCGGTCTTGCATGGCCTTCAGTTCTTTTTCCATTGCTTCCTTCCATTTCGCCTTGTGTTCCCCCCCCAGAGCCTGCGTCAGAGTCGTTGGCTCGCGCGGCGACGGCGGCGGCGGGCTTTGGACGGCGACCCATAGTCCGATGCGTTCAGAGACTTTTGTGTCGACCGGTTGAGGTGTAGCGTAACCCTAGTCAGCGAAGTGGCAATAGGTGTCGAAGTTGTTACTATCGAGAGGATGGTCGTCGTCGAGTCGAACGGGCACGGAGCAGTAAGGGAGTGGGTCCGGCAGCTTCCGAGTCTTCAAGTACGTTTTCTTCTGCTGCGTCAGCTTCGGCAGCACGGTCGGCGAAGGACCGATGGCCCTCGAAGCCGTCAGTGGGGTCGTCTGTGTTGGCAATGTTGTCCAGATAATGTTGCAACATCAGTCACTCGTAGAAAATCACATCACGTGAGGCCACGGTGGTTGTCCTGAATGTCGAGAAGTTTCCATGCTTGGAAATGTTTTGCGATGCCGAGGTGTAGTCCCCACCATGCTCGTTGAGAGAATCGACCTGCTCGGGCTGTGTGGGGTCTGTACTGTACCATGCAGCCAAAGACTCGAAGTAATTTTATGCTGCCCTGTTTTCCTGTCCACAGCAGGTTCGGTGATGCGCTGTTGGGAAGTGATGACGAGGACAGCAAATTGTGCAGGTGGACTGCATGCGTCATCGCGTCAGGCCAAAGCGTGTTGGGCAGTCTCATCCCCAGGAGCAGCTTCGGCATCGTCGTCTGCAAGGTTCTGTTCATCCTTTCTGCGACCCCCTACTACTGGTGAGCGTAGGGCAGAGACACTAGGCGTCCGATGCCTCTTTCTGCCAAGTAGTTCCTGAATCGTTGTGACTGGTACTCCAGTGCTCCGTCTGACTGGAAACTCTTGAGTTGCGATCCTTCGAGTCCCTTCGTCCTTTCGTTTTCTTTTGTCCAACCTCCTCGTGTAACCTCCGTTGACTCGCGTACTCGATACGACTTTCCTGCGAGTGTAGTGTTATACTTCAGAAACGCTTAAGTCTTCGAGGAATTTCCAACACATGTGTTATTCGATGGCTTTGAATGAATTCGAAAGGTGGTGCAGGAGACTAAGTATAGAATCTGCAGACAAAAGTACTTGAAGTAGAAAGCAATACTGGAAGTACTACCAGTAACAGCAGGTATTAACAAGTTGTAACACCAAAGTCAGTATTACAGCCTTGCGATACTTCAAGACTTAACCAAGGATCTTTGTTGGAATGGTAGTAGTAAGACAGCGGAAGTCTTAGAACTTGTAAAGTGTTGACCAGAATAAACAGAAAAACAAGTTAATAATTGAAGTTGTACAAGCTAGTTTTATATCTACTAGAAGTACCTATTCGGTAATGTACCTGTTCGAGCTATTTGCGCTATGCGCTCTAACAGCTACTGAAAAGAGCGTGACTGTTCGCGTGACTGAAACGGCCTGGTGACATAACCATCCAGGCGAGCGCTATTTGTTGACGTCATTCTACGGATGCTATCTACAGTGTAACTCGACAACATCTATCGGAACTACTAACAGAAATGCTTAAGTACGACTTTATCACTCTTACAACTAAATGAATTATTAGAAAGAGAGAGTACAGGGATATATAGCCTAGAGTGTTGTACCCTCTACAGCACAAACCAATATTGTCTATACAAACATACTTAGATATGTTTGACACACCCCCTAGACGATATAGGGGCAATGCCTAACAGGACAACAAAAAGCTCAGGGCGGCACTACTAGTCCAGCCTCTGAGGCAAGGGTCTAAAGACCAGTCAAAGGAGTACAGACACAACAAGAACAAGACCAGGGAGGCACAACTAGTCAAACCACTGGAAGGGGCCACAAGGCCAGTCAGGGTAACACACACACACATATATATGTGTATATATATATATATATACATATACACACAATCAAGGCCCTTGCAAGTGAGAGGCAACAGGAACAAGACCTAGCTGTACACAGTGCCGCTGATGATCTTTAGGCGCAAGCGCCTTCGTAAAGATATCAGCTGTGTTGGCACCGGAGGCCAAGTGTACTACACGGGCTTGGCGACGCTGCTGTAGATCGCGCAGGACGAAGTACCGCAGCTGGATGTGCTTCGCTCTGCCCTCAAGTCGAGGCTCCTGACACACGAGGATCATGGCCCTGTTGTCAGCGTACAGGACTTGGGCAGAGCTAGGCCGCTCACCTAAGTCGGTGAGCAAGAAGGTCAGCCAACAGAGCTCCAGTGCCGCCAAGGCACCAACGTAGATCTCGACCTCACAACTGGATTGGGCAACAGACGAGGAGCGAGTAGCTTGCCACGAGATAGCACCTGAACCAAGGCTGAAGCAGTAGCCCTGCGAGGACCTGAGGGTCTTGGCGTCGTCTGCCCACGAAGCGTCTGTGTGCCCAGAAAGGACCACTGGCCTGTGCCCTCCTAGCACTAAACCCATGCCTGATGTACTTGCAAGATAGCGCAAAACCCTCTTAGCAGCAGACCAGTGCTGAGGTCGGTGTCTGCCTGTGGCCACAAAGCGAGCCAAGATGCTGAGAGGGTATGCAAGCTCTGGGCGAGTGCAAGTCATCAGGTACATGAGGTAACCCACCAGCTCTACGTAAGGACCGCTGGGCTCTACCGGCTCCTCAGGAACTGGAGCTGAGAGCCTGTGGTCTACAGGCAGAGGGGTGGGCTGTGCAGAGGATAACTGAAGGCCGAACCTCTGAAGGACCTGGCGCACCAAGTGTGACTGAGAGAGGGTGATGGTGCGCGCTGCTCTGTCCTTGGAGATCTGCAAGCCAAGGTAACGGCGCAGCTCTCCTAGGTCAGTGCAGGTGTCACAGGATCGAATGTGTGGAGGAAAGGTTTTCCCTATCGATCAGTACAAGGCGCTTTTCTACTTCCAAAGTACATCAGGTAACCAGGTTTATCATATCCCAAGGAAATAGACCCTTCTAGAAAATAGAATCACCCTGGGAATAGCCACGCGAGGCTATTGGCTTTAAGGGATTACGGCAAGATTACGCTAGATATAGTGTACCAATACATCCCAAGCCTGGTCGGTGATATAATGATAATAACAGGATAAACCAAAGGTTTATGGAGAAGGAGAAATGGGAATCCAAATGGAATGAGATAAAAACCAAATGGATCAGGATAAAAGGAGGAATGGAATGGAAAGGGAATATGAAAACG